TTATAATAATTATTCTCCATATATTCATTATGTACCGTTATGTACTTAAAATTATAGACTAATGTACCGTTAATTGTAAATATAAAATAAATTATGGTATTAAAAGATGAAAATTGGTAATTGATGTGAAGTGAATGAAATGAATATTCTTTTCCGTTCATTTTTTTACCACCCGCATTACACCACCACAAATTTTCCTTTTGCTTAATATTTTCCAAATTTTATTAAATTTTGATTAACTATATTTAGCGGAGAAAATAAAGTGGCAGAAGATTTTTAATTAAAATGAAATTTTTTTTATTTTCCTTTCAAAACCAAATTAAAAATGGAGTGGTTTTAAGAGTATATTTCGGGGCAAAATATATTTTTGGTTTTTTTAAAACTATGGTCTACTATGGTAAATTATACTATCCTTAAACTAGTGATTAAGATATTTTTAAGCTTGTTAAATTAAGAAAATTTTCAAGTTTCTGGAATGCCAAATTTTAAATTTTAAAAATAAGAAAGGATTGCACTTTACTAAAATAAATTATAAATGAATTTTATGGTTATTTAAGAACAATTTTACACTTACTGTTTCTAAGAGTTCAAAATTAAAAATTATGTCTTTTGCTACGAACTGAATTTGGGTGTTATAAATTAATTTAATGTAATATTGAGTGTAATTAATTTAATGTAATATTGAATGTAATATTGAAAATTAAGGAAATTTTAATAACTTGCACGGAAGGCAATTTTTGTGGTCACTATAAAGATTTGAGTACTTTTTCCTCTTTGGCGTATGGAAATATTTGATTTATGTCTGCTCTAAAGATCAACAAATTGAATTTTTTCAATAATTTTATTAATCTTTGAAGAGGTTGATGATTTTAAAGCAAATTTGGTTAGAATTAATTAGAATATAATATTTTTATACCCGTACGAATGTATGTTCGAAGGGTATACCAAATTTGCCTTACCGTTTGTAACGCTAAGAAATAACGGTCTTAGATATAGACTCAAGTGTATGTTTTTGATCAGCGTCAAATTCTGAGTTGATTTAGCTTTGTCTGTCCGTCTATCCGTCTGCCCGTTCGTCCGTCCCAACGATAACTCAAAAACTAAATGAGCTAAGTTCACCAAATTTTCACAAATGATTTATTGTAGTTAGTGCCAGAACACAATTTAAATTGGACATGATCGGGGTACCGGTTCGGGTAGCTGCCATACAACTTCAAATTTTATTTTGCTATATCTCAGAAACTATAAAAGCTACGGTATTGAAATTTCACACAAGCGAATATATTAGTAGGGCCAATATGTTTGATAAAAGTCATTGAAATAGCTTGGCTCGTTCTGGCCGCTGCCATACAACTTCAATAGTAGTTTCGCGCACACAGTATTTTGAAAAACACATAGTACTGAAATTTTGCATAAATTAATATGGTAATACGGCAACGTAAAGTCATAGTTTGTCCCAAATTCAGTTATGGCATATTTATTCGCACATAGGATAACAAATTTGTGCGGGTATCACTGATTGTCAACTCTATTTTTTCTCGTTATTGTATAGTTTCAATTTATTTATAATAAATGTGTTATTAAACATAAGAAAATTGCCATAAAATTACGTCATAATGTTTTTTCATATGATAGTATAAGAGATTTCGAGAAAGGCATTATAAAAATTGGACCAATATGGTTTTGTGGCATGCTAAAAAATAATTCATGAAATGCTTAATTTATAATTTTCGTTCAATCAATCAAGCCAATTTATAGTAGGTGAATATTTAAAATTTAAGAAAAACATTATATTGACAAGGCTCTATTCTAAAATTGATAGATTTGGTGAGGAATGCACTGACAAAAATTTATAAAATTAATTATAAGGAATATACATATATGTATATACAGAAGTGAAGATAAAATATGCGTGTTATATAAGAAAGTGCCATAAATAATTTTATTTTGAGAAATTGTTCAGCATTCATTCAAGCATGTGTTTCTTAAGACGGAATTCGAGTTTTATTTTTTCTTACTACATAATTATAATTCATAAATCTATTGAACGAAATTAAATTTTATTTTTAAATTCGTTTAATAAAAATATTTATTTAATATTAAAAAAAAAGAACCACACATATTTAAATTTCAACCCCATGATCTCTTTCTTTTTTTCCGTTTGAAGATTTCAATTTGACTATACACGAATGTAAAAAAAAATGTTAAATAAAAAAATGAATCCTTTGTATATGTACGTGTAATCAACAGGTGGCATAAGAGTCACGAGTTCAAAGCTATATCATTTGAGTGTTGGTATAAATAAAAAAAATAATCATAATAATAAAATCAAAGTTGAGGAAAAAAAGAACAGTTACAAAAAATTTGAAGAAAAAAAGAATTGCAAAAAAAACGCGAATAAAAAGACAAAAACAGGAAAAAAAAATTCTTAAAAAAGTTTTAATTGCACTCAATAAGGCGTTAATCCAGTTATTTTATTATTACTCCTTAATATTATATAAGGACTTTTTGAAAAAAAAAAATAAAATTCAAATACTTATTAAATTTTTATTTTTGATGTTGCTCGCAGGGCATCATTATTAAGTTGCTTAAAAAACTCTTAAGTTTTATGTTTGTATATTGGCAACTTAAAAATTTCTATTTATAAAAGTCGAAAATAAAAAAATGAAAAATATCCTTTTATAATAACGAAAACTGACTGACGTCATAAACTACATTCATACTTACGTTCGTATCCGTTATGTGAAAGAATGTTTACTTGAACTATGATTGCATTTTGGTTTTTCTTTTATTTGATTTTCTCTTTCTTTTTTTGTTAAATATTTTGTATGTAGGTAGGTAGATTTTTTGTGCTTTTTTAAGGATGCTATTAGCATAGCTTTGTTATAAATTTGTGAGCTTGACTCTGCTATGCTTTTATTTCATGTTTGTTTTTTTTTTCAGTTTTTCAGTTTACCGAAATGAATAGAGAAAGTTGCAATAAAGTGTGGGCGAAGTAAAAAAAAAACAAAATTTTTTTTCTTATTTTTTATCTTAGCATTTGCCTTGCGCACGAACTCTAATAAAATTTTCTATTCATTCTTAAATTGCTCCAGCTTTACCGAGTTTGGTTTCCTTTTCGACCATTACATTTTATTTTTTATTTCCTTTTCAAATTTTATGGTTTTTTGTTGTGTTATTAGGTTTTGGTATTTTTTGGTTTTGTTGTTTTTATTTTTTTTTTTGTTTTCTTTATGTTGAATGTACAATTTTACACTTTAATTGTTGTTCAATGTATATACAAAAAGCTTTTAAGTAGTTTCATGACTTTTAAAATCTTTTTATTGCAAAAAAAAAAGACGCATAGTGTAAAATAATTTGTGTACCGTTTAAATTTTAAAGAAATTGGTGTAAAATTTGATTGAGATGGAAGAGTTCAATTTAAAGACAAATTTTTAATTAATTTATGTAATTTATGTAAATGTCGTTTTGTTTGTAATGATTTCGGAAACAGAGTCTGATTTTCAAAGAGGAAAGATTTGAATCGCTCCTTCTCTAAGAGTCTAATTTAGAAATGAGTGTAAAAATCGTTTTAAATGTTTAAGAATTGTAAAAGATCTTGATGATTTGAAATTTTTTCATTAACCTTAAATCGAATGAAAAAATCGATCTTTGAATAAAAATAAGAAATAGGGCTATAGAAGGTAATCAAAAACTAGTCGGCAAATAATGTTACACCGATCGGAAATAAATTCTAAAATAATCATCATATATCAACTTGAAGCATATTATATCTCCTGGTACTATTGTCGCGTTACAGTAAATAATAACGCATTTTTGGGTTTTATTTAACATTAAGTTGATCTTGAGTGTTTTAGTATTTATGAAAATGTTTAAGTTCTTGAAAATTTCTCGATACTTTCTTTAGTTTTAAAAATTTTTCTCGCATCTGTTTTTTCGTCAAAAATGCTTGCAGGTCAAATCACAAATTTGAATGTTTTTCTTATTCTAATTTAAGAATTTTTTAGGTTTTGTGATTAGTTGCAGAGTTTTTTGAAGAATTTAAATGACCGAAATTGCGTATAGTATTAAACCTGTCTGCTTGTAATTCATTCTAAATAAGTTCAAAAATACAAAAAGTTTTCACAAGGCATTATATGCAATGAAAGAATCGATTCACTTGTCTTGAACTCTTTGCTACTAGTAACTAAACCTTAGAATTATTAAAGTATTTTCGTATATGAGATTTTTAAATTATTGAGTTTAGACTAATAATACATAAGCTTTCAGTTCCACATATTATACAGACGGTTCAATAATTATTTCGTATTCTGCGTCGATTTTTTTTTCTCTTTTATATTTTCTAATACATAGACATATTGCGCACGCATATCGATTCTCGCATACAAACAATTTCATTGTATATATGGAAATTTATTTTAAGCTTTTCGAATATAGTATGTTCTTTTTTATTGTCTCTTTTTTTATACATTTGCAAATACATGCAAAAAAAAAAATTGTGTATTAATTTTTCAGTAATTTGTTTTAGAGAAAAATGAAAAAAAAAAAAACAAAATAATAATAAGAAAAAATAAAACAGTAAATTTTGAATACAAAAGAAAAGAAAAAACATGATGGCTTCTCATCTCATCATGATGTCATGACCCCATCATTGTTTTTGTTTTTATTTTTCTTCTGCGCTTATATAACCAGATATCATGATCTCCATTCCCATTACTTTACATGTTAGATTGGAGGAAGGGGTGGCGGTTAACAAAACGAAACTGAATGAAAAATTTCCCTAAAGAAAAAGGGTACATGAGAAGAAAAATAAATGTAGAAAATTAAAAGCTTTCCAACTATTGTTGTTGTTTTATTCGTTCGTTACAACAAAAAGCTTTTTTTTTCATTTTTTATTTTATCGCCATAATTATCCTTATTTTTTTCTTCGTTTTTTTTTTCATATTCAATTTGAATAAAAGTCCTTTTATTATTAGAAATTTGTTCATTCGGTCCGAGTTCATCGGTTCGGTTTGTTATTTTTTCTTCGCGAAAGAAAAAAAAACAAACCCAGTTTGGAAAATTGGTTTCTTTTTTTTCTAACTGGGGGAACATTTACCCAAAATAAAAATACAAAAAGGAAAACAAACAGAAAAATAATAAAAACATTAATAATTTTTTTTTTTTTTGGGGGACACTTAAAAAATTTTTGTGTTGAAAATTAATTAAAAAAAAAAAATTTCCATATGTAAAATAAAAGAAGATGGAAAAAGAAATGAAGAAAAATTAATTATTGTGGAAAAAGAAAAAAAAATCGATTCACAATCGTAAATAGTTTTTGTGGTGAAAAAAAAAATTAAAAAAATAAGAATAAAAAATAAAGTGAAAATTTAGTTTTCATTTTATTTTCAAATTTTGTCACATCAATTATGTTATTTTGAGAAGGACATTAATCATAAAAACAAAAACATTTTTTCCCTTACACCCTAATTACTACCCCGGAGAATATATTTCACCGTTAATTTCCTTTTCCCATTTGTTAATAAATAAAACAAAAGAAGAAAAAAGAGAGGAAAATATTTTTTGTAATTTAAAGCTGTAAGAAAAATTTTAAAATCATTTTTCCGTCGTCCTTTTGAAATCTTTTAAATTTTAATCTGAATTTTTCCTTTACTTAGCTATTCTAAAATCATATTTGTTTTCTTAAATCCTAAATACACAGACCTTATTTCTATAATTTTTTATACGGATTAAAATAAAATTTAAATCTATTATCCTTTCGCACGCATTTAAAATAAAACTGCGGAGAACAAGAAAAATAAAACCTAGAAATTCAACCCAGAGTGCAAACTACCTACATAGCAAATTCTTTATCCTCCTGAATATTTTCTAACTTGAAACTATCTTTTCTAAAAATGTACTAGAAAAATATACGCACTATTTAAATAAATTTCTATTTAATTCGGTATTTATTTGGTTGTGTACGGTAAATTTGTTTCTACACAAAAACACAGAGAAAAAAAAACGGTGTAAAGGTTTTACAAAATTCTTTATTTCTCGCAACCACATTGTATAAAAATAAAATTTTGTTATATAAAAGAAAAATAATTTTTATATAAAAAAAATTTACTTTAAGTAAATTCAGAAAAAAAAAGACATTTCCGTTGAGGTTTATTTGCGTTTCCGATTTCATATTGTTTTTTTTGTATTTTATACGAAATTTTTTTTTATAATTTCAATTTTAAAAAACATTAAGGATTAATTATTTTTTTTTTATAAATTTTTATTGAAAAGAAAATATAAAAAATTTTTGAAACACTCCTGGGATTCAATAAATTTTGACAAAAAAAAAAAAACTTTTGAAATAGAAAACCTGTAAGGATTATCGGCAATTGAAATTAAAAAAAAAAAAATTGCTAATGCTAAAACGGTAAGTAAAATTTAGTTTTTATATTTGAAATAAAAATTAAATAATTGAAAATTTTAATTGAAAAAATTAACAGCATTGAGTAACACATAACGTACTTTGTTCGAAAATGAAGTTTTCGGAATCGTAATGCATTTGAAATTCTTAAATAAGAGAAACATTTTAGTATAGAATTTTTGACCTTAATCTTGAAATTAATTAAATGTGTTAAAAATCATTCATCCTCTTACTAGAATTAGTTTTTGGCAGCATACAAAACAGGGTTGAAAATATTTAGTTTCCAATAATAAACTTAAAATGTATTAATATGCCCTGGAATTAAGCTGATTGCTTAAGGATAACAACAAAAAAAATTGTAATTATTAAGAAATAATTATGAGAAATGTTTTAATTTTTTGCATTTGATATGAAAAACAAGGCTTTAAAATTCAACGTTATTAAATTTTTCTTGGAAATTCTGATTTTCTTTTACATTTTACATAATGTACAATGTGTTGTTCTTTAAGGGAAACAGAAAAGAAGAAATTCTCAAAAATCGTAAAAAAATTTTTGTATATTTTTAAATATAAAAGTTTTATACATAGTTACACACATACATATATAGAAAATGTCAAAAATATTATGAAATTGTTGAATATCATAATATCATTTTTGTTCTCGCATTTAAAACACACACACATACCCGATAATATAAAAAATATTGACATGATATTTTTGTATGTAAACTATTATGTAAATATTTTCTGTTGAAAAAAAAAAGAAAATAATTTTTTGTTCCAAAAATAAATAAAAATAAAAAACAAAGAAAAAGTGCAAAAAAAAAAAATCACTTTTTCATTCATTCTATACAATTTTTTTTTATTTTTCTTTTTTGAATTTCATGTATGTAAGAAACGAAAACCAAAAATAAATTTTGTAAACTTAACTCTGAAAATGACGACAATTTTACTAGAGCTATAGGCACATATAAGGATTCTTGTGAAATTGAAAAGAATCCTTTTTTTTCATGTATGGTTTTCTTCTTGTTGCTTTTTTATTTCTTGAGTTTGTTTTTGTTGTTTTTTGTTTTTTTTTTTTAAATAATAATACACATACATATACATATGTATATCGGATTTTACTCTTTGTATATATTTTTTCTTTAAAATAAAAATATAAAAACATTTTACTTATGTATATGTAGTTGAAAATTAAAATCAAACTATTCCATTTTAAACAATTTTGTAGCAATTGAGAATTTTAATTAAAAATGATTGAAAATGTTTGCAATTTTTAAATATTTGAGATTCACACTATAGGAAATCGACGCTACATCTGGATGTATACTCATTGGTGTCTGACTTTAATTTTATAAAAAAATTATAAATTTAGGTTTAAATTTAATTTTGCTTAAAAAAACTTTAATTTCGAAAAAATCTTAAGAAGTAGTTCGAATTTAAATAATACTATCGACAGAATATAAATGTCATCTCACCATTTAAACAAAACTTTACCATAGAACTATGGTTGCAGAATATTGCATTTATGGGGAGTTCATAGGAAATTTACAAAAACCATATTAATTCCATTTTCATTGAAAATTGAAGTATAGTTTGTTTTCGGATCTTATTTGCTCTTACAAATATATATGTTACTATTATGTGCATACTTTGTATAATAATGGAACTTGTGTCTAAAAAATTGTTTAAAAAATAAATTTTTAAGTATAGAAAATTTTTAATGTTATTATATAAATACACAAAACCATCCTTGCAGCAACAAAGTAGTATGGGGCAAACGAAAAAAAAAAAATTAGAGAGAAGGAGGAGGAAAAAAAAAGATGAAGACAATAAAGTATCAAGGAGTTAAAAATAATGTTGTAATACAATATGCCTTGGAAAAAATTTCATTTGAGTTTTATTTTTGCCATATCATACTGGTGAAAATATTTTGCGGCAGTTTTTTTTTGTATTTATGTAGAAAAAGTAGATATTTGTAATTATTTTAGTTACGATATCAGTTACTAAAATTTTAATTAACAAGTTTTAAGAAGTTTAAGAAGGTACATGAAAGTTTGTAAACGAAAAAATTTTACAGTTGATAAATTGTTAATGTTATTGAAATATAATTTTTTTACTAAAAATGCAATTTGGCAAATTTTTAGCAATATACTTGCTTTCAATGAAGAAATTTATGATATTGCATTGTAAATGGAAAATATTTTCAGGGGTGGTAATTTTATAATATAGAGAGAGGTATAATATAGAGAAAGTTAGATTTGGTTAGGTTAATTGAACGAGGCCCGAAGGGTATACTTAGCCCACTTAGACTTGTTGTGTGCCGTCGGATTTTACCCTCTTCATCCCTAATTCGAATAAGTTTGAAATTCCCAAAAATCAACTGTGATGCTTAACCTTTACTTACATCTGCTAAATATGTAACGCGCTCGAAGATGTATAAGGAGATTTGTAATTAGAGAAATTTACTACTAAAAATTATATTCAATTCGATTGAGGATATATTAAATTAAGTAATCATAAGAGATAAAATTAAATGAAATGTGAAAAAGGACCCCAAACACTCTAAAGGAATTACCTTATGAAATTAGGAGACTGACTTAATTTTCTAATGTCTTAAAATAATGTCCTTAATCGAATGAAGTTCTTCTCTGTAACTCTTGTAACTCTTATTTCATCAAGTTTTTGTTTCAGGACTATATCCAAACTGTTTGAGTTTCCGAAGTGTAAATATGAAAGTGAAATTTGAATATTTTTTCAGTTTTATATATCTGCATGAATTCTATTTATTTTGGTTTAGGACATTTGAAAATTTTTATAATAATTAAGGATCACATTGAAATCAAACGAAATTTCTTATTTCTTAATATTTAATTTATTCATTGAAATATTAAGAACTGATCTAATTACATTAAAAAAATTATAACAGACATATTGAAATTTAGCAATGAAAAAGGTAGACTATAAATGTCGCTTTGCTTTTGCTACGGAAAATATCCTGAATAACGCATGTTAAAATTGCCATCAAGTAATTTGATCCAAAAAATCGATTTGTTTTGTAGTTATGTAGGGGTGCAAAATATAAATAGGTTTGGTAAATAGAATAGAATTATGTTAAATATTTATATATATATACATATTTAAATGTCTACTACACATGCATGCTTATATGCAAATTTACATATGCTTCCATAAATCTTTGAAAAGTTAATTTTCTTTTTCCATACTTTGATAATTTTTTCTTCTCGTGTTTTACATTACTTTTTTTTTGGCATTTTAATGTATGTAGTAAGTGTACATAATCCTATAGCAATGTAGAATGAATTATTTAAACATTTACAATACATACATACACACATTCTTGCTTACATATATGCATTATGTAAGAAGTAAGCGCATATACTTTGGAAATTTGAGAAATTTTCATTAAAAAAAAATTTTCTTTTTGTTGTAAAAATGAAAATAAAAATTCCATACAATTTCATTTCTGAAATAAAAAACAAATTTTTTGTTTTTGAAAGAAAATTTATATTGTATTTTTTTTTAATTTTTTTTTGTACTTTTTGGTTTTTATCAGTAATTTTTGTTTGTGATGATGCAATATATTTATGTAATTATGATATTGTTACATAACCGCACCCATTAGGAAAAAAATATATCCATCCGATTATTACAAAAAAAAATAACAAAAATGCAAATAATTTTTAGTCAAATATGGTGAAATTTTGATTAATATCCTTTGTTTTTCTTTACACTTAGATAATATTTAAGTCAAATATTTATTACGCATTAGAAAATTTTTGGATCATGATAGTGAGGTACAAGAGTGTTTCTTTATAGAAATTCCAATAACATTGGGAAAGAAGTTATATTCAAAAGTCTAACTAAATTGCTGACTTATTCAGCAATTAATATAGTATTGCTGAACAAATCCGGAATAAAGCAAAAAAAATTAAACAAAAATGTTTCATTTATTCAGCAACTGAAATTATGTTGCTGGATATTATTTGAAAACGAAAAAATAGCGATGTAATCTGCAACATTTGTTTTATTCAGCAGCTTAAGTTGTATTGCTGAATTTACTATGGATGAATTTTGTTAAGGCAAACGTTTTTAGTCAGGACTTATATAATAATAATTTTGATAATATATAATCATTTAAAATGCAATAGAATTCTTATAAAATAAAATCAATGAACAATATTTGACATCTTAACACTGCCAGTAATAGTACAGTAAATGTGAAAATTTTCTTAAACAAGTTAAAATTTTTAAAATTGATTTTTTAAAATATGGAAGCAGTGAGTTTCTACAATTTTGAAAATATTTAAAGAATGATAATTTCAAATCTTAAAATAATATTCTTGCTATATCGCTAAAGTTTCCTGGCACTTATAAAACTAACAAGCAACAAGTGATAATTTGCTTTATTCAGCTATTAAAACACAAGAATATAAGTATTTTTCTGTATTTTGTATTTTACAAAACGTTTCCACTTTCACGATAGATGCTGAATTGTTTCTGTTTGACAGGAAAATTTGCTGAATATGCAATACCAAAATACTAAAAAAATTATTGAATACCCCCCTGTCAAGTATTTAAATATTTAATAATTATGCAATTAAAATTTTAATAATTAATAAACGTGAAATATTATAAAAAAGGTGCATATTGATTATATTTTCCGTATACGAGTATAACAAAAAAAAAAAAATTATTGTTCATAAATATTTAAGGCTTCCTGGAAAGTAATTAAAAATTTTTTTTTCAATTTTTTTTTTTTTTGTTCATCTTATAATAAAAAATTTCTTTTAAAACAATTTAATTGAATTTTTACATCAAAAGACCATGAAAACTTTTTTATTCTACGAATGAAGCATATTTATAAAACACAATATATTTATTGGAATAAAGGTTTTCTCTTGACGTGATAATTTTTTTATTAAATAATAAAATAGACGAAAAACTCATTGCTTGCACAATAAAAAATATAGACGCTCGTTTAAA